GATAGAGGGGAAAGGAACGAGTATCTCGAAAATAGAACCCGGCCACTTTGCCGGGGACAATATCGTACGTCTTAGCCTCTACTCTGTAAAATAAACAGTTCCCCTCTCCGCATCGTACGTCGTCGCTCCCTGCGGATGTCCTTTTCGTCTCTCAGCCCTTTCACTACATTTTCATACGTCGCGTCCGCCGCTTGTACGGGAAAGGCGAATTTTCGCGATATACCTCCTCGGTTCTGTGTGCCACTTTATTCCCCTTCCCTCAGAGTCTTTCCGACCAGAGCGTACCTCAACCATCTCCCACGGGAATCTCGTATAGAGGCGATTCGCCCCGTGTGTATACGTGCGCAACGCATACCTCGGCACATATGTCGGTGTGTGCACTCGTCGCGAGACTCTAAGACTGTTTATTAAAAAGCTTTTAGCGATATTAGACTGTCCACTGAGAGGAACTGGGCTTCTCCGAGACGAACGGGCTTCGCCACGTGACCGTCGTCTTTGATCATCATCGTGAGTGAGAAGTGGACCCGCTGCGAAACATGCGGGAACCGTAAATACGGCGAGGATACTGAAAATCGATGAGTTTTTAGTTTACTTATAACATAACTTGACGTAAATGAGGCAATTTAAAGTTTCGATTCAATATATATTTTATGATATTTTTCCTGGAAAAAGTTGAATTTTTGTTAAAATTGTCCCTTCGGGAATTTTGTTTTTTAGTTCACGAATACCGAAGTGTTATACAAATTCTATAAGTTTAAATTTTTAGATCTTTAGATAAATCTCGAATTTTTCTAAAGAATCTTTCTACACAATTTTTCTTAAGAATCTTTCTAAAGTATTGACACTTTCTTTATGGTCTATGCAAATTCTTTTAACTTTCTATTCCTTAAAATAAATATTTTATGAAACTTCTCCACTTTCTCTCAGTATTTTTTTAAATATAATTTTTAAAATTACGAAAATAAAGAAAACAGGCCAAGAAACCCAAATAAAAATAATCGAATTTATTTGCATCTCAAGAATATTCTATAATTTCGTCTGAAAAATTAATAAACCCTTAGGAAATTTTTTCTTAAGATTTAAGCACTTGTATGCGGATGGTTTATAAATATTAAAATATTTTTAATTGAAGAACCTACTAATATTTCGATCACTCGTCGACGATCGATCGATCCTCTCAACGAATAGCTCTCGTCGGTTCGCCGATCTTCAGAGAATAAAAAATGCCCTTCAGCATTTCTTTCCCTCCATTCCTCGCCCGCGACGACGCCGTCTGGAGTTCGTTAAAACACTCTCGAAAAGCTGCGTACACAGCCGATGGCTGCGGCGCCCATTATTCGACCTCGCGCCATCCTCTCCACTCCTCTCTCTACTTGCCCACGTTCTGAAAACTTTAGGCACTCCGTTACTCTAACGGCTGTACCATAATCTCACGCGGATCGATGTTTCATCCGCATCACCTCGAGCGTTGACGCACCCCCGAGAACAAGCCGCGTGATGTTTTCTGCACGTCGTTTCGCGATGCATGTACCATCGTGAACAATTCCATAATCGTCGGTTCGGAACACCTAGAATATCGCGCTCTTTCCAGGAATTCCTCGATCGATTCACAGCTTTTTTCGACGGGGGCGAGCATCCATCTTGCTAAAGCGTCGAAGACGAAATTACAAGCGACAGTTCCTCTCCGAATCCCATTCACTCATTTACCGGAGAATAGTATTGCAAAATGGAGATTTTATAGCGGGAACGAAACCATGCTATTTCCGGATTTCGTTCCAATGTTACCTCGGGGCAACCGAGAGAGGCACCCGTTCGATCGTGCTATTTTCCATCCCGCCGTTGCGCTCGCCGACGTTTCGCAAACACGGTTCTCACAACTTGGCTGCAATTTCGCTCGCAACCTGTTTCATGTAAGCCGGTTCGGTTGCATCGCGATTATACATCGTGAGAAAAGTGCGCGCGAAAAACTGGGCAGAACCGCGAATCGATCGAATCGTTATTCGAGAGTTTTTCGAGGGCGCGAGTACGACCGGTATCGGCCAGTTCCTTCTTCTCCCCCTTCATTAATCACACGGTATTGCAAGCATGCATCGCGCGCAGGAGAGCCAGATAGACCTATCTATCCTTCGGGCAATTAAGTTTTTATCGTATTCATCTTCCTTCCTATCGGCGCGGTTACACACACGCACGCGCGTGTTCGGACCGTGCCGAGCCGAAGCCGGAGCGCGTTCGCCAACAAGAAGAGTGAAAAACAATTTGCCGCATAAATCCGCATGCGTGCCGCGCGCTCATCTCGCGACGCGTGAAATATCGCCGTCCTCGAGAACGCGGCGGGACGGCCGCGCGCACATTTACCAGGATATTTATTATATCCTCCGTGCCGCCGCCTTACAATTCCGTGCGCGCCCGAGTACTTTGTCTCTCCCTCTACTGTCTGTTACCCTTTTGCGTATGCACCTGTTACCGCTGATGTTCTCCAGTTTATTTTCTCCGTCACCAACGAGGAAAATAGCATCTTGTTACGGCGCTCTCTCTGTTAAAGCGCCTTATCTGAGAGGAATTGGAAAAATTGCTCCTTTTCGAGAGACCGGAACGGGGTCGCGGGAGAAAAAAAGTAAGTGCGAGGGGTGGACGGCAGCGCAAAAAGTAACCGGGAAACTGCCGAGAACTCGTTACGTCCATTTGAGAATACCCTTCGTTTCACCGTTGATTCGCTTTCTCTCTTTGCGCACCTCGCTTTTCTCCCCGTTTCTTCCCGCTCGTGGAAGGAAACGACTTCGTGGCGTGTTCTTACGCCTTTCCTACTCAGCATTAAAGCGTTTAAATCATCGTGATGTCATTTGATTGGCTGTCAGCTTTCTGCCAATCTTTGCGCGGCGCGACTTAATGGCTCGCGAGCCAACGCGAAATCGAAAGCAGAATAAGCAAAAAATACTTCCGAAACGTGAAATTCAATCGGATCGCATTATCGCGACAGTTTTCTTAGAGCGGCGCGCATTAGGTGCTTTGAAAAACTTACACTCGCCTCACACCGTCACACCGAGGCACGCATCGATGTTTTTAAAGCTCGCCGGGTGGAAAAGGAGAGGGATGGAATCATGACCCTTCAAAGGGACCGTATCGAGTTTCCGCTTCCTCGCAAAGAGAACGGCGCCGAGCGCCATCGAGAAGTCGACAAATAGAAATAAGAAAAAAAATCACGTTTCTGCCTTGGCATCTAAATGTAAACGATCCTTTACCGCCGCAGGGAAGATGAGGAGCGTCTCAAATTGGATGAGTTAGAATTACACGACGAACGTTGTATAATCCGCAATTATTTGATATCGAAGGGTACGAGATATCTTATCCCCAGATCAATATAATCTTGCTTGAGATGTTTTAATTCGCTTAATTTATTTAATTACCGTCACCGGTGGCCATTGTTTGTATTGTCATTTTCCTATCATATCTAGAGCATCGTGAGTGCAGCATTACAGTGTTACAGAGTAAAACAAGATAATATCATCGTCGTGGTTTTTATATCGTTAATAAATAAACAATATCACCTATGTAACAATTAGTAAAGTTTCAGGAGAGACAAAGAACTGTGCCAAAATGTTACTTCTTGAATGAACATTGAAATTCATCTATGAATAATAGTGGCCAAAAAACAGCCCAAATCCTATAGAATGATGAAACAACCGAAGTAAAAAATTGCATTTGCAGAAAAATGTCACATAGGCAGTATTATTTATTCACAAACGATATGCTCTAGCGTTTCCAACGTGCGAAACTGTTATCATGCCGAGAGTGTCATCCCTTTGCGCACCATCAAAGGATTCGCGGAGAGAGAGAGAACGAAAGTGAAAAGAAAAGAGAGAATGAGACGAAAAGCACGGCGTTATGAGAGAGAGAATTATGAGAGTTGAAGAACTCCGCGACCCAGAGAAGCCGGGAGGGTTGGGTGTATTTCAAAGTTTCCGCCGGCGCCGGAAGTCGGTATGTAAAGCAGATGGCCGACGGTTGACAGGAAGGATATGTGGTTTTCCACATATGTCACCGCGCGGTCCTCCCCCGTGCCCCCTCTCGCGAGTTTCAACACGCGCGCATGCATGCGCGAAGTCGACGGGGGTAGTCGGACGTGGCGCGACAATGCGACTTTCCACCACTTGTTTCGGAAAAGCGACGAACTCCCGGATGGCCGGCGTGTAAATGCCGACACGTGGACGGCCGCGGGCGTGTTACGTCCGCCCTGGGTTACAATTAGCGTCGATGGACGTATGACAATTACGTGGAGCACTTAACAAGCGGATCAAACCAATTATGAGTACAATAAAAGCTCTTATTTAAATGATAGCTCACGCGTTCGTGCTTAAAAAATGTTTCTTGCTCGATAAAATGTATATCTATATAGGCAATGCATAAAGGTATTATTATTGTTTATACATATATTGCTTTGTTGGATAAAATGTGTGCGAGTAACATATGTAGGTATTATTTAATCATGAATGGGTTCTGTCGAGTCTTTCACGTTCTCTCCCTCTTTCTCGATTTCACATGTCACGTTCGCGTGTCGTTAAATTCTTACACTCCAGTTAACCAGCTGGTACTTGGTTTCCTCTATTAAAATGCTTAAATGCTTTCGCAATTAGTTGTCCCCAAACATCCACGATTCATTCATCCGCATCTTTTTGCGGAATGAGAAACGCCTACTCGGATTGTGAAAATTCGCGATCTCTTTAGCGGTTGTTACGTAATTGTTTTACAACAATTCGTAGGAATAGAAAGTGGAACACTATAATTTATTCCGCTGATTATAGTCGAAAATTTTTGCAAGTATTAAAAAACATCCCGTTTTTATGTTGCACGGAAATTAACAACAAGTTTATCGTTAGCAAGTAGAAGTATATATCTTACATTAGATAAGATTATGGACATATTTACATTTTTATCTAAGAAGTATTATATAAGAAGAATTAAGAGCGATAAATTCCAAAGATTATAAAAGCGATATAATGAAATATAATGAAGAAATATAATGAATTCATAAAATATATATAGATATAGTTAATTATAGATATTGTTATCGAAAACAATTCGTTGAATTGATAAGAGTAATCTAACATTTAAATATTTTCTTAGTTTTGAATGCACTGCAGCTGTAATCTGTTTTGGCTGTTTATTTAGTAATTTTTTAAATTTTACATTATATGATGTTTGAATAAAAATTAATATTGTTAATTGAAGTAATTAATGATTTCTCAAACAATTTTGAAATTATTGGTAATGGTTTTATGATAAATTTAAGATAAAATAAAATATATGCACATTAATATATTTGATTCTTAAGAATTTTTCAAAATATCGTAGGGGTATATTCTTTTTGTCTGATTCGCGTACACCAGGCTGCTTTGGATTAAAGCAATTTGCAACTTATGAGAGAATAACATCATAGATAAGATAAGACGTCGGATATAATAAACTTGTTTTGCTTGGTGATTTATGTAATATTGCTTGATTGCCAATTTGACTGCCAAGTCGATTTCGAGCTTAATAAATCGAGTATATTGTTTTAATATTTTATTTTTTATAATATCTTAATATAATTTATATCGTTTATTATTCTTAATCATAGATAAATAAAACCTGTCACAAAGAGATGATTTTACAGAAATTTACGCGTCATCCAGATATGGGTGACGTGGCAGTCAAAATGTTAACGATTAAAGTTAATCTATTGGAAATATGCTCTATATAATTTCATTAAAAATAGCTGATTTAAAAACTGACATTTCTTCATACAGTCTTAGCAATTAATTCTAATTTTACATTTATTCCCCGTATAAAAAAGTATTGCATATTCCAATGGAATTAATAATGCTTAGACATTGACGACATTAACTTCAGCCGGACATTAACTATTTATGTAACAAAGTTTAACAGAAATATATATATACAAAGTAAAACTTTTCTTTTTTTGAAGAAGTTAATTACCGGGCTACGCTTTGGATACCATAGAGGCATTAGAAACTAATACGACATTATTCTTATGTTCTAACACCGTTCTATATCACACGTCACATTATTACGCATCCACAGCGTTCTGGCTGTCATCCAGCGGATCGATTAATACTTTTTTTAACGCGAAAAACAAGAAGCTCGCTGCGAGCACTATTCCACTCATGAGTAGGTAAAAAGGCATGCCGGGTCCTCGAACGTTCTTTTGCTCGTTCGTGTTGTATCCCGCCACCCAGCCCTTCCTCGGCGGTTTGTTCACCCTTTCCGAATCGTCGATCGTGCCGACCTGATACTTCTTCATCAGCTCCATCGCGTCTTTCGAATGCCCGACATCGTCGAAGTCCTCGGAACCGTCCTTGCCTTTGTGATCCAACAGAATCTCTTCGCCACCTGGATGCTCATTGAGAAAGGTGTGGACGTTGTATACTTTGTCGTGCAAGATGATAAGAACTTTATCCTTATCGTCGTTTTTTTTTATCTCGCTCCGCGTGAATACTCTCTTTTCCGCCATGTTTTGTTGATCTTTCGCTATTTCTTCTTCGTATGGTCGATCTAAAGGAAAAAGAAATAAGAGTTTGTTAGAGTTGTTTTTATCGGTGTTTCAATATTATGTAATGGTTTCTTTTGGTTTCGCGTAATATGAGAATGCATTTCGTGTAACCGTCATAAAACTTGTTTCTACTTTATCTTCTTTAATTTTTCGATAAGGCTAGAGCCACGATCGATAACGTTTAATAAAAAAATAAAAAAAAAATAAAAAAATTCTAATTGTGATTGTCACGTCAATAAGTTTCGAGAATGACGTTAAAAAAGAATTTAAAAGTATGACGTCATATGTCATATGTCATATTAGTGCAACGTCGTGCACGCGTTTCATGGCGTTTAACGAGCAACGGAGCTGCTTGATATCATGTCGAGGTCAGTGGAATGATTGCGTAACGAGCGTTCAGTTGGTTACCACAGGGCTATCACAGTTATTTTCGAGTACACTGTAACATTGTTGTTGCTCGATGTATAATCTATTATATACTCGAGTGATAATGTGACGCGTCTTGAAATGACTTTGAAATGACTTGACAAATTACTTCAGATGTACCGGACGTAGCAAACATTTGTCACGTAACTGTTATACCTCGTAATATTAATGACGCAATAAATTATATATCTGTGCATATATTTTCGCTGTCTAATCATCCGCTCGAAGGGGTCACGTCGTGGCACTATCGCTACGCAGTTATTTCGATAAACAGCGGAGCCGAACGCCACGCCGCGCCGTAGGATTGGAGACCATTAGTTAATAGGTTCCTCGAAATTTGCATAACAGTACTTCGCGTAATTTCCCGAGTGCGGTGCGCGGAAAGACGCTCGGGGAAAACGTTCTCCGCGCGCGCGCCGACCGAAGGATATTTCCTCGGGTGAAAGCTCCACTTGAGAGATTCGCTTCCTGATGCGGCAGCTATACCTCTCGCTCTCCGTTACGTTTACCATTGAGAAGTCAATATATGCCTGAAGGATCACGGACTCTCTCGACCTTTACAATAATCAAACTTCGTCCGATCACGGGCAGTTGGACGAGTACACTCGCGAGGTTCGCGATGAGATACCGATTCGAGACGTCCATTCGCGAGAACAGTCGGCAAGATCGCCGTCGAAACGAGCGAGATACGAGTTCGAGAAGTGCGTCGGATCGATAGGGCCCTTTCCCATGTTTCCCTCGAAACGGGATGGCTCGTTCAGACCTCGTCGAGTCTGCGGAGAAAAGCTCGTCCGAAGGAGTTTACGGCAAACGAAGACCAGACGTTTGTCGCGCCACACGTACCTCCTCTTCGTACCCTCGAAGGGTGTGTTACGGATACGTCGCGACTTCCCTGAAGGGAGGAGACGGATCTGAAGATAAACACGAGTCAGCGGCACAAAATTTGACGTAGGTGTGAACCTCGATGATCTCCGTCGACGAGACGTCACGCGTGAACCTCTCCTCGAAGCCGCACTTGCGTGAATCCGCCGCACACTACGGAATCCGTCTGTCGTTTGTACAGCTTTATGATCCCCCTCTTGGTTTCTCTCGTCATACGGACCCCACCGCTCCGGCTCTTCTCATGTTATCTGCAGACCAGCCGCGACGTTGCCAACCTGCTTCTACTGCAAAACATAACGCTGACGCATTAGATTAAATCACAGCCAATATCCAGAGCTGTAGATGGTTGGATGGCTGGACGAATGGCTAACTTGTGTAAAAACCTGCGATTTTGTAATAATATACTGTTCTTTTTTATGAAAAAGAACATTTTTCATGAAAAAGAACAGTATACAGCCTAATCGTGAAATTCCCTATGAAACTCGTGATTTTAGAATTGCAGTCACGGATGATGGTTGATATCGCTCAGGGCGTTCTTGTTTGTAAGAGCAGCTTTAAAATGTACGCACGAGATCACGGCCAATCAGTCAATCGCGACTTCGCGTAGTGCGAATCTATATAGTTCTGAAACTTTTGTGGGATAGAGAAGATCGCTGAACTGATAAGACAACTCAGCCAACTTATCAGTTTAGGTAGTTGTAACATGCAGTATACAGAATGGAAACATCAATAGACATACTTTTCATTCAAATGTAACGGTCTTACTTTATCGCGCATAGCTCTCGAACCGCAAGGAATTCTGACAAATATTTTTCATTTATCGGAAAAATTTTATCGGTGGCATTTTGTTAGATAAAAACCACGAATAAAAATAATCTCATATCTCATTGAACCTAGTTATACAGTCAGCACATTAATTAATAAACATATCATGCGCAATATGTATTATACAATTGCCCTTTTCACCTCTGAGTTTTCCTTGCCATAATGATGATCAAATTGCGCGAGACTTTTTATAAATTTCATCGTAGTCCAAAGACGCAACGAAAAATAATAGTGATTTCCCAGATGTTTTTGTATAAGATTGCTACGTACCATTCCTGTTTGTGAACTCACGTACTGTGCGGGCATGATGTTCGATTCATATGCAAAAGCGTCTAGTCATGGTGACGCCGTGCAAATCGCAGGAAGATAAGCATGATAGTCGAGCTGGTCGATAGCATTTTTGTGAGGTCGTACATTGCACGTAGTACAT